GGTGCTGTAAAGGTCTGGGATGAAAGCATCTCCCGAGAGAGCATTCTTGGTAGAGGAACAAAGCTTCTAGGGGCAATTTTAACGGTTTTCATTAGGTTCCGTCTCAAATACACAACTCAGAAGTTCTTTCTCTTTTCTAGTGTAGAGGAAATCTAGGGAGAGTAGTCTTTCTACCCTAGAGCTAAACTTTGTGAATACCTGTCCCAGTTCTATTTCATGAAAAACGATAGTACTCTATCAGGTGTGCTGTTACTGTAAGATGTATGAGCACCTTTTGAAAAGAGATGACTGAGCAGTTTTTTGAAGGGGTGATCAGGGATCCACAAAGAGTTCTGAAAAAAAGATTGTGAAAAAAGGAGCTAGAGAAAATCAGGTGTTTATCCTACATTCAGAAAGTTAGCTGTTGAGGAATCTGTGGTGGAAGGAAATGATCTACAGTTATCCCAACAGAACATAGAGTCCTCACTGGCAAGTGTGAGCTACTAAAGCATAGCAATATTGTGAGAGAAGAAAGATACCTAGGAAAACATTTAGCTGCCAAGTGTAGCACTAAGTATAGGCCTTTGAAATGATGATAATGAATTTCTACTAAAAATGAAGTTATATTTAAGTATATGCATATGCACAAATGGTTTGCTTGATCTCCTTATTAAAAAAAAAAAAAAAAAGCACAAACAAACAAATAAAAAAAAAACAACCAGAAGCACTGATACAAAAGCCAGTGAAGAAAATATTAAAGAATGGGAAATATTATGTACCTAAACAGGTATTATTGTTTTATGGGAAAGAGGTCATCTCTAGCACAATTTATTCCTTTATGTGAGAAGTTACAGTTTGGTTCATATAGTAACTACAATGCATTTCTTTCTAGGTATTGTTACAGGTATTGTTACTACTGAATGACACTTGCTTTAAAAAGTGATGGTGGATTAAGAACTGACTGATTTCATGTAGCAGGTATCAGCAGAAAGTACTCATTTCTAGATAAACTGTAAATATATCTGGAATATATCAATATCTTGACATTCTCCCAAATTTCCATGAGCTGCATGGTCATAAGTGTAAAATATTTGATGATAGGATTTGCAGATAGAACAAAGGATTGGTGGAATAATGCATAAGATAGAGGATATGGAAGTAATTTTGAACAAAATACATAAGTAACAACGTAGTTGCAGTGCATACTTCATTATTCTTTCTGCCATTGGTGCTGGATCTAATTACTGCAAACCTTCTGAGGAATTCTCAAAGCACCACAAGGGTTAGCTCAAAGTTTGGCCTGGCAATAGCAGCAAGAATGGGTATAAGCACACTTGGTGTTAAAAGCTTTATCGGGGATCTCGTTGAAAGACTTCAAGGGAATGGCTTTTGTCCTCCCTTTTCTCTCTTTGCATCCTTGGATATAGTGCCAGGACATGGTGTTATTTGTGACCAATTGATGTACTTTCAGTCTGGCACACTCTTACTTTGGATGCAAGGGTCTGCTAAGTTAGATAATAATGCACTGATCTTTCATATGCTTGTGTGAATTAAAGCAAGCATTACAGTCATTTTCTTTCCCTTGCGGGCTGTTTCTTCTTATACATTAGGAACAGACAAGAAAGGAGCACAAGACTCTTGTAAATGAAGGCCAAAGTGAGGCTACAGTTCTTTAAGAGGTAATAAGAGATATTAAGGACAAAGTTACAAGAAGAGATTATTTTATTGTCATGGGTATTTCCTTTTTTGTTCAAGACAGTTCTGTATCAAGGCCAGGCATATGGGTTTGCTTTATAATCCTGGTTCAAACATATCAGCTAAAGCCAGGAAGATTTTGCTAGTGCAAACTTATTTCTCTGCTAGGAAGCCATAGACCTGTTGAGGGACTTGTAATGTCATTAAGATTGGAATGATAATTTATATGACTACAATTGATCAACATTAGTTCCTGCTTTCATTAAGAGGTACCCATCTGTGTTTGAGCTTGTTTTATTCTTCTCTTTATATCTCTCAGGAGTCCTTGACAGTGTGCATGAAAGACATTTTAGTGACTTTACTCATGCTTTCTATTTATTTATTCTTTGTTTAGGAGAATTTTGCTCAGATTGATTTCTTTCTCTGCTTATTTTATTGGATAGATGTACCTCTTTCCATTTCATTTTCAGACTGAGTCTCAGAAGTGCTGCTTATAATAATTGACTCAGTACTTATAGCCAAAAGTGCATTTCTTAGAAAAATAATAATAAATAAATAAATCCAAAACATCAATACAGTGTAGGACTTCTGATACTTCTAAGCAAATCTTTTATCAGTACATCTTGGTTATGAGAGGGAAAAAGTTTAACTTTGGCTCTTGCAAGTCTTTAATTTTGAAAGTGTTCCTATCAGAGTAGAGCTCCCCTGTTATGTTGAGAAGTTGTACAGACCTCTTAGAAGGAGGAAGAACCAGATGGTTTCACCTGATAATGTGAAGATGTAAATAGGCTTGAACGAAATATTTTGGTTTTCAAACCACCAGGCACTGGGAGCACTAGAGACTAATAGTTAGAATGTACATGAAATGATTCTGTGCATCAACCCATATTGGTTTGGTAGGAGAAGAGGTAATGGCTTTAAGTTGTGCCAGGGGAGGTTCAGGTTGGATATTGGGAAAAATTTTCAGAAAGAGTGGTGAGGTATTGGAAGAGGCTGCCCAGGGAAGTGGTGGAGTCACCATCACTGGAGGTGTTCAAAGAGAGGGGAGATATGGCACTGAGGGACATGACTGAGTAGGCACAGTGGGGATAGGTTGATGGCTGGACTAGATGATCTTAGTGTCTTTTCCAAGCTTAATGATTCTATAATTCTGTAATTCCTAATGTGATACTGCATCTACCTGTTGGGCCTCCAGACCTAGAAGGACCTAGATTTGTTATAACAGGTCCAGACAATGTGAATATGATCAGAAGGCTGGGAGCTTTTCTCCTATGAAGAAAGGCTGAGGCTACTGGGCTTGTTCAGTTCAGCCTGGAGAAGACTCTGGGTACACCTTACTGTGGCTTTCCAATACATAAAAGAGGCCTACAAGAAAGATGAGGAGACTCTTCACCACACTGTATACTCTGGATAGGATAAGATGTAACAGTTTTAAATGAGAAGAAAAAGATAGGTTTAGATTACATGTAAGGAATACATTCTTCGCTATGATGGTGGTGAGGAACTGGAACAGGCTGCCTAGAGAACTTGTGGAAGTTTCATCTCTGCACATGTTCAAGGCCGGGTTAGTTAGGGTCCTGGACTACCTAATTTAATGGTTGACATCCCTGCCCACAGTGGGCAGGATCTTTAAGGTCCTTTCCAACACAAGCCATTCTATGATTCTGTGTGGTGAAAAAGGTAACTCCTCTGCATGATATCTGTAGAAGCAGCAGCCCTGAAGATAGACCAATAAAAATCTGATTGTGTGATTGGCAAAGATATGTAAGCATGCTTGTGATTATCTCAAAACTCCGACAGGAATTTGGCTGAGGTATTCTAAACGTATTGACAAACTCCTTGTCTAAGTGAACTATTCAGCATGAGACCTTTATTTGGGTGAAGGCACTTTGGTCCTGCTGTGTGGATGCAAAATTGCCCCAGTTCTGAATGCCCTGATTAACATATACTAGCAGGACTAACTGCTCTGTGGCCTCACTTTCTGCTGCAGCAGAGGGGTAGGTGGTTGTATTCAACTGCTTCTGATTTCTGCACTGGCTTTTGGGGCTTTTGGCAATGGCTTTTACAGTGACCTTTCCTTTGAGCTTTGACTACCTCAGCTGCAGCTGATAATCTGGTCTGTAAATTCATCAGTGCAATGGAACAGGAAAAATATCTTATTTCATTGCTAGGCCTAACCAAACATTGGAATGGTAGAATATCATATATATTTTTTGTTGTTGTTGAGAGTCAGGAGGTGGAAGGAGAAATATGGCCTGCTGGCAGCATCCTCAGAAAAGTCATTCTTACAGCACAATTTCAGATGTAGCTTCAAACACAGATTGAAGTGGTCCTGCTGTAGAAAGTCTTCAGAGAACCCCTAAGTTAGGGGTTCATTTCTATTATCTCATTAAACTGATTCCTTAAGCTAACTGACCTCACTGATTACAAGTGTGCAATTATCTGTTGATCTGGTAAAGCAAAGCATAAATAAATGCTACTTCAGTGGTATGGCAGGAAAGTGGTGAATAGGTAGACAGATCTCTTTAGAAAAGCATATGGGTTGACGCTGATTGGAAGCATGAGAAATGACTTCTTATTTTCACAATCTTCTGTGAAACCCTTTTGTTGAGCTAAATATTCTTCAAAGTTTTGCTCATACTTAATGCTTGAACAAACTCAAGGAACACACACACTTAAACAGTCATGGCCCTAGAAGAGGACAGGGGAACCAAGCACAGTTCAGTAAGATATGAGAGGCTAGGTTTCACTTTCTCTCTGATTCTCGTTAGCTATGGGACCATTGTGTGACTGAAGCCACAGAATCTGTGCTCCTGATTGCATTTCCCATCTTGCCTCTGTTTTGTCTCGTTAGGGTTGGGAGTTTTTCAACTAGGATCTGTCCTATCTGATACGTTTGAACAGCACTGCAGTGAGAGCTGGGCATTGAGAAATTAACTTTCACCAAATCTGACAGTGGAACTGTATTTTAAACTTTTGCAGTGACCTCCATTGAGATTTATGGAGCATTGAAAGAGAGAAACCCAGTGTCCTAGCTTAGAGGAAGACTCTGGTCATTTGTTATGTTTGGCTTCTTGTCTGGCCAGTCAATAAAAAGGTGGCTTAAAACCAGGTGTAGCATGTTGGATCTCTTCCTCAGCTTGAGGTTATTGGATAGAATAAGGGAAAGGAAATTAGGGCATGTGGAGACAGGAAACAGAATTGTTGTTGTGGGACCATGTGGAAGTGTTGGACAAAACCCAGTAAATCAGATTTTGTTAGTTCTGTAACTTATAAAATATTTCATTAACCTGTGATAATTTTGTACTGGTTCTCTTGTTTTTCAGATGTTCTGTGTCCAAATGTTCAAGTGGAAGGAGATCGATTCAAGCACACTAATGGGGAGACAGATGAGATTCCAGGTAAAGAGACATACTTTTCTACTGCACAGCTGAGAGCTGAAATAGTGTAATTGTATGTTTCATGTGTGATATTCTTATATGTTATCTCTTTTGACTGGCATTTTCTTAATCCAGAACATTTTCAGTGATGAAGAAGTAGGACTGTTAGGCAGGAAAAGAGTTGACAATGAAGAGTTGAGCATTTGTTGACCATGAACAGAAAAATAATCATGAGCTTTTTTCTTTCATATAACAGCAAATTAAAAATCTAGTGGAACTTAGAGTAGAGGATAGAGGAAATCAATAAGCCTTTGAGATGTTTCTTTTTCTTTGGGTGTTTTTTTGACCACTCAAGTTTTTGTGAGATTTAATGTCCATTTATTTAATCTCTGCTGTGGGATGTCAAACTCCAATGGCAATTATTACTGAAGTACAGCTTATATATATGTGTGTGCGTGTACAAGAAAACACAGAGAAAGAAATAAGAAATTCCCAAAAGAACGAGTTCATCTGAAATGCTAGTGAGAAAGCCGAAGGAAAGCAGGTTTGTTGGGATCTCTGCTTTCCCTTGAGTTCTGATACATTCTTCCAGGCAGCCAAAGGAATTAACATGTCAGACGTATGCAAAGGCTGTGCCTCTTTTCTAACCCCCAAATACAGTTTGAGCTGTCGGCAGAGAAAATCTTTCCATCAGGGATGTGCTTTGAATATATCTGCCTGACCCAAAAATTGCAGTGAGTAGCAGGAGGCTCTTCTGCAACTTGATTATGAATAAAAATGGTAAAGGTCTGACAGCTCTGCTACACTTCAGCAGCTTTTTCATAGGGGGGGATTTGCACCGCCTGCACAAAATACCAGTTCAACTCTACTGTCTGTAGGCAGCTTATTTTGGCTGCAGTCTGGCTTTACTGGTGCCTGTGATAATGCTGAGTAGTAACACTTTTTCTGGTTGCTAGATCCAAAATTATAGCCCTCAGATACAGAACAGCTGTCCATCTGTAGGTATTGTATCAACCTGTTCTGATAGTCCTCCAGTCACATGGCTGTTCAAACAGTAGAGCTATTCAACAGTTAGCCCTACTGATTCTGATTGAGTCTGTCATGGAAGTTGCTGCTCAAAAAGAACAGGAGAACTGTTCCCTCTCACATGGCCATCTTCTACATGATGATTTCCAGAAAACTGATATTGCAAATGGTTGTCAGCATCTACTCTGTGTTAATCAAAGTAGAATTTTAGTTCATGTGCTAATTGACACACTATATCCTTTTATTTGTTTTCAAAAATGTATCTTTCATTGAGAAATGTAAAGAACAAACATTCCACTGCAGATCTGATGCATGATTTTTTTACTACAGTATATACATATATGCATGTATATCTACATATGTAAGTATGCTCTTATGTAAAGTTTCTGACTTACTTTTCCTTTATTTTTGAATCTCACTTCCATCCTAGACTGCACTGTGAATGTTCAGTATTTTAACTTTAATGATGTCTTTTCAGCATAAAGGCTCATCATATAATGAACAATAATAAAAGGTTATTACAATATTTGACTAAAAACATCTCTGTCCACTCTCCATCAAAACAAGAGGTTTTGTGTAAGGCTCCTGATTGCTCTTACATGGTGCAGCAGTGTTTTCATTTTGTTCTTGCACCTTATGTTTAGGGAATGTTTGCCTTTTACCTGGACAATGCTGAACTGAAGTTCTGGATCTGCTTAGGGTCATTGTGTTGCTGGAGATGTATTGGCACAGGAACAAAATGCTTTCTCACTATTTATGTATTCCTTATGTTCGCTGTAACGGTTTTGGAAGACGAGGCTCTTGGGTCCAATTCCAACAGAATATCATTGCATTCTCTAAAGTTAATTGGAAAAATTCCATTGGTTTACGGTGCACTATATACTTTTCCAAAGGAATGTATTTTGTTGCTAGTTGTTGCTGAAGGGCTTTTGTATGCTGCATTTTAGTTTTGGAGAGCAGCCTCACACCTGTGAGAGCATTTTGTGAGAGCATTGTGAGAGTTGCATAGATTTCTATGGATTTACTGCTGACAGTACAGAGTGGAAAGCAGTTCCTCTGTTAACCCATTCTCATACATTCAAAGCTGTGCAGTTAATGCCTCTGTCTTGCACTCGGCTTGGGTCGCTAAAATTGAGCCTTGCCCAACAGGCTCCTAGCACTGCACTTCACAGCTGCATGCTGTCCAAGCTTGCTTCTAAGTTGACACAGAGTGGAGCCCAATAAGATGGAAGTTGCAGTAAATCTCTTTTTGAGGGTGGGGTAAACTGTGTTAAAAGACTTCTTGCAGCACACACCTATTACCCTTCTCAGACAGGGAGGAGATTACAGAACTAAAAGGAAGAAAAGACTTCCTGGGGATTTTCTTTTACTGTCTTTTTATTGAAAGTAATGCAGCAGCTGATGTCACAGACAGTTATTTCACACAGAACATCACCAGTGCCAGCCCTTTCTTGTATACCATACCAACATATAAGTTGCAGCACAACCAACAGCTTCATGTGTGTCTGCAGTTAAGTGAATGTGAATTGAATCATTGTAGATTAGCAAAAGAACAAGGGCTCAATCATAACATGGGCTATAAGGGACAAATTTTGCAATATGAAGGGAGTCGGGTGTGTGACTGAGCAGTGGCAGATGCATGAGATATTGTTAATGCTGAGGGTGAGTGCAGGGATACATCTTGAGAAGTAAATTCACAATCAGAAGACTAATTGCATTTAAAAGCATTCTGCGAGCTGGAAGAGAACCAAACACCAAACTTGTATTTTCTTTTCAAAATACAGTTGATTTTTTTTCTGTAGATAAACAGAAATAAGTTGATTTAATCTATCTGGAGTCCAGCGAGCATTTATCAATTTGTACTTTATTGAAAATCATTGCTAAAATTAAAAATGGTAGAGATAAATAAACATTGTAAAGCAAGTAAGCTGGCTAGCAGGGAGATAATAATGATGGAGTTCTAGGAAAGGGAGTAACAAGCCAGAAGTCTTATTTTCTCTGTGAATATGTGACAAGGGGGAATGATTTTAAACTGAGATGGGAGATTTAGGTTAGATATTAGGAGGAAGTTTTTCACTCAGAGGGTGGTGAGGCACTGGAACAGGTTGCCCAAGGAGGTTGTGGATGCCCCATCCCTGGAGGCATTCAAGGCCAGGCTGGATGTGGCTCTGGGCAGCCTGGTCTGGTGGTTGGCAACCCTGCACATAGCCGGGGGTTGAAACTAGATGATCATTGTTGTTCATTTCAACGCAGGCCATTCTATGATTCTATGATTCTTATATCCACAATATGAATTAGGATCAGGCTGTCATGCAGGAATAGAATCATAGAATCATTAAGTTTGGAAAAGATCACTAAGATCATTTAGTACAACCATCGACCCATCTCCACTGTGCCCACTAAACCATACCCTCAGTACAAACATCTAAAATGTTTCTTGAACACCTCCAGGGACAGTGGCTCCACCAGCTGCCTGGGCAGTCTGTTTCAATGCATTACCATAGTTTCTGAGAAGGAATTTTTCCTAATATCCAATCTGAACTTCCTCTGGAACAACTTGAGGCCGCTATCTCTCAATCCTATCACTGTTATCTGGGAGAAGAGGCTGACTCCCACCTTGCCACAACCTCCTTTCAGGTAGTTGCAGAGAGCAGTGTCTCCCTCAAGACTCCTCCAGAATGAAAAATCCTAGTTCCCTCAGGCACTCCACATAACACTTGTGCTTCAGACTCTTCAACGGCTTCGTTGCCCGTCTCCAGACTCTCTACCTGGCCTCAATATCACTCTTGTAGTGAGGGGCTCAAAACTGAACACAGTACTCAAGATGCATCAGTACTCACCATGGCTGAGTACAGAGAAATGATCTGGAAAGAACTGATTTGCCTCAAAAGCTTGGGAATTTTCCCATTTGATTTGGGAATATTTGTTGAAATTACCTGTTAGGGAAATTAAAGATCAGGAATAGGAATTTGTGCTACAAATCCATTCTCTCAAAACTGATGGTGTCTTGGTTTGTAGACTCTTGCAAGCCACCGTGTTATACAGTTAAAGAAAAAGGCAAAGGTCATTACTGGATAAGGTAGAGCAGGATAAGGTAGAGTAGGTCTTATAGAGATAGGGAGGAAATTATGCGAATGGACAGGGCTTTGGCTTCAGCTTATCTAGAAAAGTGTGATCACATTTCCTTTGCTCAGGAAATACGGATTTGGTCTTGAGGAGTTAATACTGTGTTCAGAAGCCAGACAGACTATTTTCAATAGATTACAAAACTGAGTTTGGTTACTCTTACCATGTGCAGGTGGAAGAGGGAGATATGATTGCTTTCCACAAATAGATCAGGGGAGTAGCCGGACGGAGATTAGGGGAATCACTCAAGCTAAAGGACAAAGAGTATCATTAAAAAACAGATATCAGCAATTTAAGAAATACATTCAGGTAAGACATTAGAGGAAGGTTTAAAACTGTCAGAGATATGAAGGCCTGGAACAAGCAGCAAAATAGTAGTAAAGGAGACAAATAAAGAGCAATGAACAGGGCTACTTCTCATAGCAGAGGACTAAACTCTGTGACCCTCTGGTATCACAGCATTTAAATGAGAAGACACATCTATAGCATCCATTGAGAACTGACACAGTGAAATAGGATTGCATGAGGTGGGAATATATAGGCAGCTTTACTGTACTACTGATGCAAATTTTGGCAGCAAAGTGAAGAAGCGTCTGCTGAACAGTTCACAAGGTGTAAGTTCTGAATATAAATGTGAAATCAGAAATAACACTGGGAATTTTGAATGAGAAAGAGAAATCTGGTTAGGATACCAAGATAAACACTTCTTCTCTTCCAGAAAGCCTGATATATTAAAGCAATGCTTACTGATATTTAAAATGAAGTTCTTACAGTATCCTACTGGGTACCATGTGTAGTTGTTGTTTTTTTTTTTTAATCAAGGAGGGAAATGTAAACAAAAGAGGGTTTGACTCATCTACCCTGAAATA